GTGCTGGACGAGGGCCCGCGGCTTCTCGTCGTGCTGCTGCTTCTCGTCGTGCTGCTTCACGTCGTGCTGCTGCTTCTCGTCGTGCTGCGGCTTGGCGTCGTGCTGCGCGTTCTGGTCGTGCTTCGCCATCTCCCGCCGCTCCCGCGCTTCTACCGCCTGCGGCGGAGGGGGCATCTTCGGCGCCTTCGGCGCGTTCGGCTGCGCTTTCGACGTCGGCTGCAACTCCTTCTTCGTCCCCCTGGGCTGCATCGCGACGGCCCTGGTCGTCTGCAGCGGCGGCGGCATCGGCGCCGCGACGGCCACTAGCCCCGCTGGCCTCACTGGCCCACGTGGCCTGATGCTGCCGAGGGTTGCTGACGGCGCTGCTGGCGACGGCGCTGCTGGCGCCGAAGGTGCTGGCGAAGGTGCTGCTGCCGACGGCGCTGGTGCAGGTGCTGGCGCAGGTGCTGGCGAAGGTGCTGCCGAAGGTGCTGGCGAAGGTGCTGGCGCCGAAGGTGCTGCCGAAGGTGCTGGCGAAGGTGCTGGCGTCGGCGGTGGCCTCCGCGCCTTCGCCTTGGACGTCGGCGCCCACGCGGGCATGGGGCTGCCCTCGTTTGCCTCGTCTGCACTCCTCTGCCTCGTGCCCCTGCTGAAGAGCAAGGCCGTGTCTTTGCAAGGGCACGCTTCCCTCCTTCACGCAGTCCAAGAGGTTGCCCCTCGAGTCCCATATCAGCTTCGCCATGGCTCGGGCCCGCGGGCCCCGCGGGCCCCCCGATGGGGGGCCTGCACAGCTACATTGAGCCCAAATGGTTACGGGGGAGGACGCGGAGGAGGCGGAGGAGGGGGGGAGGCGGAGGAGGGAACCTCACTTAATTGAAGTAAGATAAATTGTAAGATAATGATGATACTTAGAAGATAATTAGAGGATAATTATGTCATAATTATGTTGAAATTAGAGGATAATTAGAGGATAGTTATCCTCTAAATCATGTTGGTTAGAGGATAATTATCCTCTAAATCATGTTGATTAGTGGATACGTATCCTTTAAATCATGTTGATTAGAGGATAATGGAGAATTATAATCCTAGTCTAACTGAGCTCCTGGGGAGCAAGACGGCGTCCTGGCGGGCGCGCGGACGCCCGGACGCCGGGAAGCCCATGGGCGCCCGTGGCGCCCGGCGCCCAGACGCCCGGGCGGCCCGGACGCCCGGGCACCCAGCCGCCCGGACGCCCGGGCCGCCCCGGCGCCCCAGACGCCCGGACGCCGCGATGCCCGGACGGCGCCCGGGCGCCCGGACGCCTGGCTGGGAGCGCTCACAGAGGAGCGCCCAGACGCGGGGCGCCCAGACGTCGGCGCCCGGGCGCCCGGACGCCGGGCAGCCTGGGCGCCCGGGCGCCCAGCCGCCCGGACGCCCGGGCCGCCCGGGCGCCCCGACGCCTGGAGCGCCCGGACGCCGCGGCCGCCTGGGCGCCCCGGACGCCCGGACGCAGGGAGGCCCGGACGGCGCCCGGGCGCCTGGACGCCCGGACGCCCGAGCCGCCCGGGCCGCCCGGACGCCCAGGGCGCCCGGACATCCGGGCGCCCTGACATTGTCAGGCGGAATTGTGGTATCGTGGCTGGGTTGTGGGCCCACCATTTCCATGCTGGGCCGCTCACAGCCACGTGAGCGGCGCCGACAGAAAAACCGCCCAGATCGGGCGAGCACCGTCTAGGTTCCTCTCTGGCTTTCGTTCAGATCTGACACCTTTTGGAAATTTCGACAGTTTGGTGTTGTGAGTCATATATACATATAACGGCGCACCGGGTCCGGGGGCCCGGGGCCGGGACCCCGACCGCAAATGTGCACCCCGGGGGGCCCGGAGGCTCGTCGGGGCTTGCCGGAGGCCTCCCCAGTCAGACAAGACGGCCCAAGAAACGCCCAAGACGGCCCAAGAAACTTCCAAGAGGCCTCCAAGAGGGCTCCGAGATGCTGAAGATGGCCTCCAGACGTCCAAGGACGCCCCCAAGAGGCCCCAAGAAGCCTCCAACATGCGTCCCAAGAGGGCCCCTAGACGCAAAAATTGGCCCATTCCCTTCGTAAAACGTACATTTTCAACAAAGTTGTCTTTTGGGCTTTCCGACGTTACAGGACGGCCCAAGAGGCGCCCAAGACCGCCCCAAGACGGCCCAAGAAGCTTCCCAAGAGGGCCCCAGGACAGCCCAAGAGGGCCCCAAGACGGCCCAAGAGGCGCCCAAGATGGCCCAAGAGGGCCCCAAGACGGGCCCAAGAGGGGGCCCAGAGGGGGACCACGAACCGCAAGCTCGAGCCTTCCGCCCCAAGAGGCCGCCAGGAGGCCCCCAGGAGGCCCCTCAAGAGGCCCCAGGAGACCCCAGCCGTCCAAGGACGCCCCCAAGAGGCTCCAAGAAGCCTCCAACATGCGTCCCAAGGGGGCCCCTAGACGCAAGAATTGGCCCATTCCCTACGTAAAACGTACATTATTAACAAAGTCGCCTTTTGGGCTCTCCGACGTTACAGGACGGCCCAAGAGGCGCCCAAGACCGCCCCAAGACGGCCCAAGAAGCTTCCAGAGGGCCCCAGGACAGCCCAAGAGGGCCCCAAGACGGCCCAAGAGGCGCCCAAGATGGCCCAAGAGGGCCCCAAGACGGGCCCAAGAGGGGGCCCAGAGGGGGACCACGAACCGCAAGCTCGAGCCTTCCGCCCCAAGAGGCCGCCAGGAGGCCCCCAGGAGGCCCCTCAAGAGGCCCCAGGAGACCCCAGACGTCCAAGGACGCCCCCAAGAGGCCCCAAGAAGCTTCCAACATGCGTCCCAAGAGGGCCCCTAGACGCAAAAATTGGCCCATTCCCTTCGTAAAACGTACATTTTTTCAACAAAGTTGTCTTTTGGGTTTTCCGACGTTACAGGACGGCCCAAGAGGCGCCCAAGACCGCCCCAAGACGGCCCAAGAAGCTTCCAAGAGGGCCCCAGGACAGCCCAAGAGGGCCCCAAGACGGCCCAAGAGGCGCCCAAGATGGCCCAAGAGGGCCCCAAGACGGGCCCAAGAGGGGGCCCAGAGGGGGACCACGAACCGCAAGCTCGAGCCTTCCGCCCCAAGAGGCCGCCAGGAGGCCCCAAGGAGGCCCCTCAAGAGGCCCCAGGAGACCCCAGACGTCCAAGGGCGCCCCCAAGACGCTTCGCGTCACCAATTTCTTCTCGCAACGATTCCTGGGTCTGTGACTCGACAGAACCTAAGCGCGCGCGAAGCGCGCGCGTGGTTCTAGTATATATATATGTGTGTGTATATATGTATATATGTATGTGTACACGTTTGTATATATAGTTGTATATATTTGTATATATATATATATATATATATATATATATATATCGAGATGCGTGGATGTGTGTTGTAGATATAGCGGTGGTGGCCTTCGGCCCATCCTGCCACCGTGCTTGGGTTGTCGGCCAGAGGCCCCTTGGACGCTTGTAACGATTTCGGACGCCTCTAGGAGGCGGTTTGGGGGCTGTTTCGGGGGTCTCGGAAGCCTCTCGGGGGCTTCTTGGGGCCTGATGTGTGCCTCTTGGAGGCTTTTGAGATCTTCTCGGGGGCATCTCGGGAGCCTCTGGTGTCATCTTGGGGCCATCTTGGGGCGGAGGGCTCAAAATGTCAGTTCGTGTTCCCCCTCTTGGGCCTCTCTTGGGACTGTCTTTGGAGCTTGTCGGGCCCCTCTCGGAGATTCGTGGGCCGCTGTGAAACGATCTTGGGCGCCTTCTGGGCCGCCTTGAACGCTCTAGAGACCAAAAGAGGCGATCATGTTGAAACCACACCAAGCCAATGAATGTGTACTACTTCGGCCTCTTTGGTCGTTCTCCAGGGCCTCCAAGGCAGCCCAGGATGCACCCAAGAGGGCTCCAGCACAGTCCTCGGGGACATATTCGGCCACGCTGGACACGCATGTCCCGAACAACGCGCCCTTGGCTGCTGAAAAAGGTCACGCGAGGAACCCCCCAGGAGCATTTGGGAGCGCCCAGGAGCCCCCAGACCTCTGGGCTGTGGGCCCCTTCGCGCACTTTTTGGTTGTAGTTGCAGGGATCTCGGAAGCTTGTGTTCCAGAGCACGGTGGCGGATACACATGTCTGTAATATGTGCGTGTGTATATATAATATACACATATACATATATTTATGTACACACGCACACAATTGTGCCTACACGTTTGCGTGGATATACACATAACGAATGTATATTGCATATGGTGTTGGGCCATCTTGGCCAAAGGCTTACATCAATGTTGGGCCAATAGGTCTTGAGCCAGTGTTGGGTCATTTCGGCCGCCTTGGTGGCCTTCCTGGGTAGTCTTGGGAGCCGTGGAGGCCCCGCGGGAGCCCAATGCAGCCCTGGGAGCCACGCGTGTGGGGAACTGTGATGCAGAAGGGGGGCTAGAAGAGTTACATAAACCCTAGTGGGCAGCACTTCGCATTCGACCACGCCTCAACGTGCCAGTGGTGCACGGTGGCGAATTGTTAGCTGCATGCATACAGGGCGCCATTTTTTGGACGTAGGTTCGCATATATCCGTCTGACAACGTCCATGATACGTGCAATCCTTGGCACAATGTCCATCTTGTCCTCTGTATGCTTCTCGTACGTGCGCTCTCTTGTGTGATTATCTTGCTCAACCGTACCATCATGATAAGGCGTCGTCTGGCCAACATGCGCCTGTTGCCCTCTTGGCGGCATCCACACAGCGTTGTGCTTTTGCTGTCGTCCTGGTCCATGCTTGCTTCAAACTCAAGTATCGTAGACAGTGTCCGTGTTCGTTAATCGTGCAGCCTCCATTCCAGTTTCCCACTTGTGCAGCTCCATTTGGTTGGCCCTTTGACTGGCGGGAATCGCAGACATTCGTGCATACACTACATTGGTTCACTCGTCGGCGTGCAACTAAGTTTTTGCTTTGTCACGGGAATAGTGGTAGTGCATAGTCGATTATTGTGTGGCTCGCGCTCGAGAATACACGCGCATGTTCGGCAAGAAACAGAAGGATCAACATCCCGTGTTGACACGTATGCTTACTCAGCTGTAATTTGGCCTTGCTTGGCGGCCCCACAGAGGGATTACGCTGTTTACGGAATTTAACTTTGCACGTGAGTTTCTATGCTCTCGTGCAAGCATGTTGCACTGTATAAGGGTACTGCCTGGCAGTGCGCTACATCATGTCTGCAATTGTCTGTAACAGTAACCAGCCGCTCCCGCCAGTTTCTGCCAAATTATGGTGGCAGCACAGAGGAGATGTATGTTATATTCCCCGCCACTGAGGGAATGCAGCTGACTTGCCGCTTCCGTTCTGGAGCGAGTTTCACTGTCCACTGAGCTGAATACTCCTTCCAAACGTACATGAAACACGGGCCTTAAGGACGAGTTTCTGAAGCAAGGCACCTTTACATCGCTCGATGCAGGGCATCTATTGCACGCTTTCTGCTACCTTAGTCCAGGGGTACCCTGGCATCCTGGCGGGGCCCAGGTGCTTTGCATCCTTGTCCATCCTGCCGGCGGGCTTTGACCGTAGCACGAGCGCCCTGGGTTATGAGATGCATCCAGTATTACTCTTCACCCTCCTTGTCTCCACAGTGGCGAAACGAGGGCACCGCGTGGGCACCGTAAAACAGTTTCGCGCTGGCAGGAGGGCACGGCCCAGCCAGGGGCGGTACGGTGGGGCCGTTCGTTAAGGATTCCGCCGAGGGGGCCTCAGACCCTCGATGATCCTTGTCTCATGAGGGCGGCGGTAATATCCATGGTCAGACCTGTAATTAGTGTTCCGCCAGCTTTCAGGCCCTGAATTCCCTACCCAAGGGTTCCTTATCCAATGCCGTCACCGTGCTAAAACGGGGCCCGCGTTGAAGGACGTCGGGCGGCGGCGGGACGCATGCGCTGGACCGGTCGGAGACAGTGCTCGGGGCGGTCGGGGCCAGGCCAGCGGAGGTAGAATTGGCGGAGCCTCGTCGAAGACACTGGCGATGGTCGGGGCCCCTGGATACATGTAGCGCTCAGGGTTGGAAGAAGAAACACATACACAAGTAATCGTCGACTCCCATAAAAAATGGCAAAACATGGGATGGGGGGGGAGACGAAAACCCAGAAGAGATGGTACTATAGATACACATCTATATATATATATATATATATATATATGTGTGTGTGTGTGTGTGTCAGAGTGAGGGGCCCAGTGATGGGGCCGAACGGTCATTCATTGTCCCTGGGTGCGTGGCTAAAGTGAGGATCCGTGGTGAGGATTCTGCTTGTTGCGTTGTTGTTATTGTTTGTTGTCGTCGTCCCATCCGCGACCCACCCGCGACCCATCCCGCGACCCACCCGCGACCCACCCCGCGACCCGGCCCGCGACCCGCCCGCGACCCACCCTGCGACCCACCCTGCGACCCACCTGCGACCCACCCGCGACCCACCCGCGACCCACCCGCGACCCGGCCCGCGACCCACCCGCGACCCACCTGCAACCCAACCCGTGACCCACCCACATTGCTTTAACAAAAAAATCGGCGTTTGCGGCGGGCTCGCTTGATAGCTTGAAAAGTCCGCGCCTGCGGCGGGCTTCTTCAGAGCCTCGCGGCCCCTCACTCTTATCCGTAATTGCGGGGTGGTACGGTAGATGTAGATCGTGAGATGGGTGTTTATTTATCTGTGCGTCCCTGGGCCCTTTCGGTGTGGTGCTTCCCCTTGGGCGGTCCGCCCCTGCCGCTGCCGCCGGACAGGGCTGGTCGAAGAGAGCTGGCGGCGGCGCAGGGGAAGCACCAAGGGTTGGGGGGGCACGCGGCGACAGAGCCCGTTGAGGGATCGGCGGAGCACGAGCACCAGCGGATCGGGACCTCGCAAAGGAGGGGGAGGCCCAAAGGGGGGAGGGGGGAGTTCGGTCCGCTGGCGCATGGAACCGCAGAGAAACTATGCAAGACGAGGTCTCCGGCCGCCGCCGGAACCCGAGGGGTGTCGACAATCGGGCCGCGCGGGGGGCATCGTTTTTCGGAGATTCGATGCACCAGCGGATCGAACTCACCCCCGCCCTCAGGGTCCCCCCCCCCCTTGGCCCTTTGGTTGGCCCCGATCGGACGGGGCTAGGACGAGGATGAATCAGCTCCAGAGCGTTCGGAACGCTCTGAGAAGGCAGCGGCGCCCGAGACATCCTCCAGAGTCGCCAGATTTCAGGGATTCTCGGTCTAGCCTTATTCGATGTTACTCTCATCTTGGCTTCGTCTTTCACCAGGGCCAGGGGCAGTAATTAAGGGACAAGGACGCCCGAAGGACACCGGCGGCAGCGGAAGACCAGCAGCAGGCCAGGGACGGGGCTGGTGGAAGAAAATCGTTGGCAGCGGAGGGCGAGATCCAGGGCCAGAGACAATCAGGGACAGAGCGCGCCGCTGGAAATCGGCAGCAGCGGATGGCGATCACCAGGGCAAGGGGCCGTCGGGGCAGGGTCGGCCGAAAAAAATCACCGGCAGCTGTGGGCAGGCATTAGGGCGTGGGACAGTCGGTCACAGGGCTGACCAAGGGAAGTTGAGGGGCAGCGGAGGGCACGCGAGAGGCCGCCCGAGGGGAGTTCGCGACAGCGGAGTGCAGTTCTCTACAGAGGCGTGGGAACCGTTTCAGAGCAGGGTGGCTGCTGACACAATCGCCATACACAGCAAGAAAACCTACGATGGTGCTCGTCCAGTGCATGAGCGAGCAGATGTGCCCGTTGACATTCGTGGATTCTGCTTGGGCTTTCTGGCATGTGTATTACCTTTCGTTCTTCGCATCACATGTGTAATTAGGGGGCACCTCTCTGTCAACCCCCGTCCACCCTGACATGTAGGGCTTGCACCACTGCGCATTTTGTAGGACTGAGCCTTTGCACAATTCGATGAAATCGCGTTGTGATGTCTATACCGTTTGGGCATTATGGTGTTCGTGCTTGCTCGAGGCTTACAACCTTCAGGCTGGGATCCGACCACACTCTTGTAAAAAAAACAGCTGTTGCGGTACACTTCTGTCTGTGTTGTTGAAAAAGCAAGTACTCTTGCCCGCGCGAGGGAGCACTATTCACATGCGAAAGAGTTGCGCAGACGTGTCGACGGCCGTCGTTGAATACAATGCGGCATTGCGTTCATTTATTCGGGCTCTGGCGCCCATTTCTCCCATTCCATCCATGTGGAATACTCACAGAAACTCGATATCAATCGGGAAACAGAGGTCACGGAGTGTTGAAGATCCAGCAGCTTTTGGCCAGACCCGATACAGCGCCTGGGTTGTGGACCAAAGGCCTCTTACTTGTCTCTTGGGGTCTCTCGGGGCGCTTCTCGGAGGCTTGTTTTAGGGCGCTTGTTGGGGGCGTCCTGGCGATCTCGGAAGCCAGCTTGGGGCGGGAGGCTCGACATGTTAGTAGTTCAAGTTCCCCCCCTTGGGTCTCTTTGGGGTCTCTCGATCCCTCTTGGGGTCTTTGCACACTTGGGGCTAGTCTCAGTGCCTCCAAGGCAGCCGAAGATGTGCCAAGAGGGCTCCACGACGGGTCAAGAGATCATCCGAGGACATGTTGGAAGCATGGAATCCCAACCACGCTTCCGAGGCTCAAGGTCCGAGGCTCGCGGCTCGCGCGCGCGCGCCGGCATGGCGCCTTCGCCAGGGGGGCTCGGGCTTCTGCGCCGACGCCAGGGGCACAAGGGGTGCCCAGGGCGAAGGGAGGCGATCGAAGCACGAGCAGCAAGAGGCGGAGGCGGCGCTGCAGAAGCCGACCACACGCCGGGCCGAAGCGCAGGACGAGGCCGCGCAGCCGAGCGACGCAAAGCAGGCTCAGGAGGCAGAGGGGGCCAGGCGCGACGAGGGGGCCAGGCGCGACGAGAGGAGCAGGAGCCCAAGGTGGAGCGGAAAGAGACGCACCGGAGGGCGCGACAGGAGAGAGGCGGGACCAGAGGAAGACGAGGAGGCTTGTGGCAGGAGGGGCAAGGGAACGCCCGAGGAGGCACACGAGGCAGAGGAGGCAAGGCGCCGCGAGGAAGACGACAAGGCTGAGGAGGCTGAGGAGGCTGAGGAGGCTGAGGAGGCTGAGGAGGAGAAGGAGGACGAGATGACGAGGAAGCCGCACAGGAACCGCAGAGCCCGCAGAGAGAGGCAGGCCACGGCGGGCCGCTGGCGCGCGCTGCCGCAGGACCCAGGGCCGCCTCCAGGCCTTTGGACAATCGCGCAGCGCAGGCGCAAGAGGAGCGCGCGAGAAGGCCAGGAGAGGCGACGGGAGCAGCAGCTGCAGCAGCGGCTTAGACGGCTTACCAGGCAGAGGCCGCCAGCAGCGAGAGGGCCGAAGGGGGCAAGGGAGCCCGGGAAGACAAAGGGAGACGAAGAGGCAGAGGACGAGGAGGCGAGGGAGGAGGAAGAGGCAGAGGAGACACAGCAGCGACGACAGGAGACGCGGCAAGGCGCTGGCGAGAAGGGCAGGGCGCCGCTCGGGCCACCCTCCGCTCGCCGGGGCCCGCGCCGACGCTGCCAGAGGGCCGCGCGGCGGCTGGCGAAGGCAGCCTGGGAGATGGCGCTGGCCGAGCATGGGGCACTGGTGGCGCGCGAGGAGGCCTTCCAGCAGCGGCAGAGCTTCCTGGCGGACAGGTTCGCGGCGCGCCGTCTGCAGGCCGCGCTCCAGAGGAGGGCGCGGGAGGCTGAAGAGAGCGAGAGGGCGCCGCCACAGCCGCAGCAGACGCCACCGCGGCCGCAACAGCACCGCCAGACGCAGCCGCAGCATGCCCCAACAGCCAAGGCAGCTGAGGAGGCGGAGGAGGCAGCAGAGAGCCACGGGAGGAGCGCACAGCCATGCGAGCAGCACCGCGCCCAGCTCTCGCCCACCGGCTGGCGGACGCGCTACGGCCAGCCACCGCAGAGACCACACAGAAGGCCAGAGGCAGACAAAGAAATGGCGCGAGCCAGCCTGCGCGGGGAGCACGTCGGCCCCGGCCTTGCGCCACGAGCAGCAACGCCAGCCCGGAGAGCGGCACCACAGAGACCACCAGCAGAACGACAGGGGCCACCAACGCCACGGCGGCGAGCACCGCGCCGGCCACGACGAGGTGCACCGCGCCGGCGACCAGCAGCACCGCACGCCGCCACAGCCAACGCCCAACGACCAACACCACAACGAGCACAGCGACAGCAGCTAGCCGCAGCGCCACCAGAACCGCTACGACGGCGACCAGCAGCACTACGCACAACAACGCAGACTCAGCCAGCGGCACCACACGGAGCACCCGGCGGACACGGCGAGCACCACCACGACGGCAGCCCAGAGGACGGGGAGGAGACGGCGGCAGCAGCGGAGGAGGAGCAGGAGGAGGCTCAGGAGGCCGAGGAGAAACGCGCCTACGCCGACACCAACGCCAGCGACGACGACAGCACTAACGCCAGACCAGACGCCAGCACGGCCACGACCCCCGACGCCAGCCCGGGCCCCAGCGCCTACGCCTACGCCAGCCCCAACACCGAGGGTGAGGGCGAGGAGGACAAGGAGGCGGCGACGGGGGAGGAGGAGGCTGAGGCGGCCGAGGAGGAATGCGCCTACGCAAGCACTAGCGCCAGCACCAACGCCAGCCCAGACGCCGGCACGGAAGGTCCTTTCGACGCCAGCTCGGACGCCAGCATCTACGCCTACGCCAGCCCCACGGCCAAGGCGGAGGAGGACGCGGAGGACGAGGAGGCGACGACGGCGGCAGCGGACGAGGAAGCTAAGGAGGCTGAGGCGGAAAGCGCCTACGCCGGCACCAACGCCAGCGCATACGCCAGCACCAGCGCCACCTCCGACGCCAGGTCTGCTTCGACCACCGACGACAGCTCGGACGTCAGCCCGGACGCCAGCGCCTGCGCCTACGCCAGCCCCAACGCCAAGGCTCGGAAGGACGAGGAGGTCGAGCAGGCGACGACGGCAGCAGTGGAGGAGCAGGCCGCGGAGGAACGCGCCTACGCCGGCAACTACGCCAGCGCCCACGACAGCACCAACGCCAGCTTCGACGCCAGCACTGCCACGACCGCCGACGCCAGCTCGGACGCCAGCACCAGCGCCTACCTGGAGGAGGACGAGGAGGACGAGGAGGCGAAGACGGAAGCAGCGGTCGAGGAGGCTGCGGAGGCCGAGGAAGAATGCGCCCACACCGGCACCAACGCCAGCGCCTACGCCAGCTCCAACGCCAGCTACGAAGCCAACACCGCCGAGACCTCCGACACCAGGTCGGACGCCAGCGCCTACGCCTACGCCAGCTCCACCGCCAAGGCCCAGGAGGCCGAGAAGTACGGCGCCGGCACCGACGCCAGCGCCTACGCCAGCACTGGCGCCATCTCCGACGCCAGCACCGCCGGGACCTCCGACGCCAGCTCGGACGCCAGCGCCTACGCTTACGCCAGTTCCAACGCCAAAGCACAGGAGGCCGAGAAGTTCGGCGCCTACGCCAGCACCGGCGCCATCCCCGAGGCCAGCACCGCCGGGACCTCCGACGCCAGCTCGGACGCCAGCGCCCACGCCTACGCCAGCTCCAACGCCAAGGGCGCGGAGGACGCGAAGGTAGACGCCCACACCGACACCAACGCCAGCGCCTACGCCAGCCCCAACGCCAACTACGAAGCCAGCACCGCCGGGACCTCCGACGCCAGCTCGGACGCAGACGCCTACGCCTACGCCAGCTCCAGCGCCAAGGCCCAGGAGGCCGAGAAGTATGGCGCCTACGCCGGCACCGACGCCAGCGCCTACGCCAGCACCGGCGCCATCTCCGACGCCAGCACCGCCAGGACTTCCGACGCCAGCTCGGACGCCAGCGCCTACGCCTACGCCAACTCCAACGCCAAGGCCGCGGAGGAGGAGGAGGAGGAGGAGGAGGAGGAGGAGGAGGAGGAGGAGGAAGAGCAGGACGAGGAGGCGACGACGGCAACAGCGGAGACGGAGGCCCAGGAGGCCGAGAAGTATGGAGCCTGGGCCGGCACCGACGCCAGAGCCTACGCCAGCACCGGCGCCATCTCCGACGCCAGCACCGCCGGGACCTCCGATGCCAGCTCGGACGCCAGCGCCGACGCCTACGCCAGCTCCAACGCCAAGGCCCAGGAGGCCGAGAAGTATGGCGCCTGCGCCGGCACCGACGCCAGCGCCTACGCCAGCTCCGGCGCCATCTCCGACGCCAGCACCGCCGGGACCTCCGACGCCAGCTCGGACGCCAGCGCCTACGCCTACGCCAGCCCCAGCGCCAAGGCTTCGGACGACGCACAGGAGGAGGAGGCGACGTCAGCAGCAGCGGAGGAGAAGGAGGAGGAGAAGGAGGTTCAGGAGGCCGAGGAGGAATGCGCCTGCGCCGGCGCCAACGTCAAAGCCTACGCCAGCACCAGCGCCACCTCCGACGGCAACACTGCCAGGACCTCCGACTCCAGCTCGGACGCCAGCGCCTACACCTACGTCAGCCCCGACGCCAAGGCGGAGGAGGGCGACGACGACGAGGAGGACAACCAAGACGAGGAGGCGACGACGGCAGCAGCAGAGGAGGAGGGTCAGGAGACCGAGGAGGACCGCGCCTCCAACGCCAACGCCGACGCCAGCACTGCCAGGACCGCAGACGCCAGCTCGGACGCCAACGCCTACGTCGGCCCGAATCCCAAGGAGGAGGATAATGACGACGAGGCGGACGAGGGGGGCGAGGAGGCGACGGCGGCAGCAGAGCAGCAGCGGCAACACTGCGAACTGGACCTCGGCTTCGACCCGCGGCGCCAAGCGCAGCAGCGCCAACGCAACGAGCAGCAGCACAACGACTACCACGAGCAACTAAGCCCATCCCGTTCACACAGGGACTCGCGCTGGGGGTTGCGGGGCCAAAGGATCGGGGAGGCGAGCCACCCAGGGCCACCCGACGATTGCCCAGGGACGACACCGCGCGGAGACCACCGCAGCACTGGCGGAGGGCGAGGACGATATAGTAATATCGATGGCGACCTACCGGCAAGCCAGGGGCGTTCCGCTTCGCGCCGCTCCGCGCCCGCAGGGCCAGAGACACCGCCCAGCGAGGGATTCAGGTCGCCGCGCCGCTCCCTCTCGCCCCTGCCAGCAGAGGACAGTCACTTCGACGCCGTGTTCGGTCGGAGGCCGCGGCCAGAGGTTGCTGCTCCTGCCTGCGCGATGTGCCTGGAGCCGCTCGACAACGCGGGGGTGCAATGGCCCGATTGCGGCCACGTGCCACACATTTTCCACGCGGCATGCCTCGCCAGGCACCGGCCGCTGCGCCGGGGGCTAGCTCACCTGCGCCACACGGGCGGCGACGCCAGCAGGGTCGAGGAGGCGCAGTGCCCGCTCTGCAACCACAGGTGGGGCGACGGGCCGAGCGCCGCCGCGCGGCTCGCGGAGCTCGTGAGCTGCCTGGAGCGCGGTGACGGGCTCCCCTCCCGGGGGTGCCGGTGCGCGGTCTGCCGGAACCACGGAGGCGCGACGAGCAGCGATGAGAACGACGACCCGTACGCAGGCGGACCCCTCGTGCTCCCAGAGGGACCCGCGCCACACGCGATCGTCAGGTGCCCGCACCACCCAGGCCAACCCATGCGCTGGCGACACTCGCGCGGGCCGGGAGGGCTGGCGGGAAGCCGGGAGTGCCTCGCCTGCGATGTCGCCCAACTAGGGAGAGACGTCCCGCCGCCGCAGGGCGCGAGGCCGCCGCAATGTTCCTGCGGCCGGGCGGGACAGGTCGAGTGGGTCGCCCGGGCAAGCGTGGGCGCGGGAGGGCCGCGGCGATGGCACGGGGAGTGGCTCTGCCAGGGCTGCGCCGAGACAGCGCTCCCGGAGCCGCCAGCGGACGCGGAACCAGACAGGCCGCCAGAGACAGGAGGAGGCGGCGGGAACCCCGAACCAACGCCCGGGAGGCAGGCGCAGGTCGCCGCAACACCACACCAACGCAGCGTCTTCTCAGGGTGGCCTCCGCTGGAGGCCCCGCTGCGGGCACGTACCAATTCGGACGTCTACATGCCGTTGCTGCTCGCGGCGGCCGGCCTGCTCGATCCGACGGAGGCGGCGCAGTGGGGGGCGCACCGCCTCACGCAGGACTGGTGGCAGCCGACGGTCGAGGCGCTGCGTCACTCGGAGCCGGTCCCCGCCGAGCAGATCGCCCAGGGCTCGAGTTCGCAGGGGCCCGCCCCGGGACGGTGTACGCGGCGATAGCAGCCGGAGGCGGAGAACGCCCGGGACACGTATACCTGGCGCCCCTCGTCCGGGCCTTGGCAGACAGCGCCGGCCACGTGGAGCCGCAGGCGCAGGACCTCTTGCTGGAGATGTTCGGCGGCGCTGTTTTGGCGAGAGGGGTTGACAGGCGCTTTGCGCGACCCCGAGAGGTGGGCGGCGGCCGGGCCGCCCCAGCCGCCCCCGCCGCCGCTGGAGCCCCCAGGCCCAGGGCCAAGGTGGAGGAGGAGGAGGAGGAGGAGGAGGAGGAGGAGGAGGAGGAGCGAGCAGCGGCAACGACGACAGGGACGAAGGCAGCGACAGCCAGAGAAGCCCACAGTTCCAGGCGCCGGCTCCAGAAGCGGCCAGGGCCCAAGGGGCAGGAGAGGAGGAAGAAGAGGAGGAGGAGGAGGAGGAGGAGGAGGAGGAGGAGGAACATGGTGGCGGCGGAGGAGCAGCGCAGGGGCCACGAGGACGGCGCCCTCAGAGGGAAGCGCTCCGCAGGGCAAGGAGAGAGGCGCTAGACGGGGTGGACCTGCAAGCAACCCTGCGGCAACGGGTGGCCACCATGCGGAGCGCCCCCGCTTTCCTCCGCGGACCCCTGCGCAACGCGCTGCGCAAAGCGCTGAGGGAGATCCACGCAGGGGGGGGCAACGAAGCACGACAGCTCCGAGGCTGGAAGCTCCTGTTTCTGATCCCGCGCATGCTGCTAAGCAAGGACCCCGGCGCCCGCACGGTGCCCAAAGAACAGCTGCTGGAACGGTTCGCCCGGTTCGAGGCGGGCGACTGGGCGCCCCTGCTAGCCCCCCCAGCCAGAAGGCGAAGCAGAGGAGGCCGCGGGCGGCCGCCGGCAGGGAGCGACGAGGAGCTTTCCCAGCGCTGCGCGAGGGCGCACGCCTTGGTTCAGCAGGGAGAGGTCTCGGCGGCGCGCCAGGGCCTCACGGCCAGCGCTCTCGCGCCGGGGGCCGAGGCCACGCTGGCGGAGCTGCGGGACCCGGCGCGAAGGCTCGCCCAACCGCGGGAGCCGCTGAGGGGGGACCTGGCAGCCTTAGCTCCGGAGCCTATCTGGCTCGAGTCCGACAAGCTCCTGCGCAACCTCCGCGGCTGCCGCAGGGGCGCCGCCCCAGGCCCGTCCGGCTTGACCGGCGAACACTTGCAGACACTCCTGGAAGACGAGCACGCCTGCAGCTCACTACACCACGCGGCCACGAGGATGGCGCAGGCAAGGCTGCCCGGACCAGTGGCGGAAGCGTTGCGCCTGGGGCAGTTCACGGCGCTTACCAAGCCAAACGGGAGGGTGAGGGGCATCGTGACAGGAGACGTGCTGAGGAGACTGGTGGCCCGCTGCGTGGCCCAACAGATCAACGAGGAGGTAGAGGCAGCCACAGCGCCATTTCAGTTCGCCCTGTCCACCAGAGCGGGCACAGAATGTGCGGCACACCTCATCCAGAGCTTGACGCAGGCCAACCCAGAGGCCGCGGTGCTCTCCATAGACGGCATTGGCGCGTTCGACCTCATGTCGCGCAACGCCATGCTCCAAGGATTGGCGGGCCTCCCTGCCGCGAGCTCAGCGTTACCATTCTGCAGGATGTTCTACGGGCCCCGCTCGCAATACCTCTGGACCGACCAGCGCGGGGAGGCCCACGTCGTGGAGCAGGCGGAAGGCGGCGAGCAGGGTGATCCCCTGATGCCCGCGCTGTTCGCCCTGGGCCAACACCCTGCCCTACAAGAAGTGCAAGCCGGCCTGCTTCCAGGGGAGCACCTCTTTGCATTCCTGGACGACATCTACGTGGTGTCTGCCCCAGTGCGCTCCCGCGACGTCTTCGAACTGGTCCGCTGCGCGCTTCAGAGGCACTGTGGCATCGGCGTCAACATGGGCAAGACGAAGGTCTGGAACGCAACAGGAACGGAACCGCCGAGAGTCAGGGAGTTAGGCACCGAGCAAGACCGGGTGTGGGTCGGAGACACCGCAGCGCCGCCACACGAGCAGGGCCTGGTGGTCCTCGGCACGCCCATCGGGCACGTGGAATTCGTCCGCCACCACATGCACTCCCTGCTGGCAGACCACCGCGTTCTCCTGCACCGGCTGTGCCAAGTCGGAGACCTCCAGACGGCCTGGCTGCTCCTGAGCATGTGCGCCAACCCGCGGGCCAATTTCTACTTGCGCACAATGGCGCCGGAGGACACGCTTGAGTTCGCGACGGCCCGCGACGAGCACATGGCGGCGGCGGTCACAGACCTCCTGGGAACCCCTGCGGACCAGCTGACAGCAGAACAGACGGCCAGGGAGGTCGCGCAGCTCCCGCTCTGCCTCGGAGGGCTAGGCCTGCGTTGCGCTGCCCGCATGGCGCCCGCGGCGTGGTGGGCGTCGTGGGCGGACTGCCTGCCGATGCTGCGAGAGCGCGCGCCGGCGCTGACGGCGGACATTTGCTGGGCCCTCGACACTGGCGCGGCCGGGCTCCCACCGGGCCTCCGCCAAGCGGCTGAGGCGCGGCGCCAGCTGGCCCTGGAAGGGTACGAGACGCCTAACTGGACGGCGCTGGCGCTGGGAGCGCGCCCCCCGCCCACGCACGACAGAGAAATGGGCGAGTGGGCGCGCGGCTGGCAGTTCTGGGCGGCCCGAGCAAGAGACGACCGAGCCAGGGTCGGCATCATGCAACGCATGCAGGCCCCAGAGCGCGCCCTGCTGCGCTCCCAGAGCGGCCCGTGCGCCGGCCGGGCGTTCACGGTCCTACCCACGAGCGAGCCCATGCGAGTTCCACCCGCAGAGTTGCGCGTCCTCCTCCTGCGCCGCCTGCGCCTTGATTTACCATTCACGGCAGGCGCGTGCAGGTGCCGAGCGCGACTCGACAGCAGAGGGGACCACAGGGCGGCCTGCCCCGCAGCCGGCGTCCTCAAAAAGCGGGGAGCCCCTCTGGAGAAGGCGGCGGCCCGCATCTGCCGCGAGGCGGGCGCGAGGGTGGCGGAGAACCAGTTCCTGCGGGACCTGAACGTCGACGGCGTCGGCGCGGGCGACGGCCGGCGGCTCGAGGTGATCGCCAACGGTCTGCCGCCGTGGGGAGGGGCACAGCTGGCCGTGGACGCCACGCTGGTCTGCCCTCTCGGCCGGGACGGCGCGGCCCACCCGCGCACGGCAGACGAGGACGGGGCGTGGATCCGCGAAGCCCGCAGGCGCAAGGAGACCACCTACCCAGAGCTCCTGGACGCGAGGCGCTGCCGGCTCGTGGTCATGGCCCTGGAGGTGGGGGGCCGGTGGTCGCAGGAGGCCCTCCAGTTCGTGCGCCTCTTGGCTGACTGCAAAGCCCGGTCCGCGCCAGAGCTACTGCGCGCCTCGGTGAAGGCAGCCTGGATCCAGCGGTGGACTGGCCTCGCCTCGGTGGCGGCGCAGAGGGCCTTCGCAGCCTCCCTGCTGCACCTGCCCCTGGACGGCCTCGCCTGCGACGGCGACGAGCCATGGCTGCAGGACGTCCTGGCGGACGCGCGCCATGCCGAGGCGCCAATCCCTAGCCGCATGCCGGCGCGCCCCTGAGGTGGGCGGCCCCCGGCCGGGCGAGAGCCGGGGGCGCGGAACACCACCGCCACCGCGAGGCAGCGGCACAGGACGAGACAGGGCACCAAGGGAGGAGGAGCCCAGGCGAGAACGCGAGGAGGAGGAGGAGGAGGAGGAGGAGGAGGAGGAGGAGGAGGAGGAGGAGGCAGAGGAGGGAGCGGCCAGAGGCAGCACACCCACCAGCGGATGAGGTAACCCACCCAGCCACAGCGGCAGGCGCCCACGCCGGCACCGACGCCAGCGACTACGCCAGTACCAACGCCAGACCCGACGCCAGCACGGCCGCGACCTCCGACGCCAGCTCGGGCCCCAGCGCCTACCCTTACGCCAGCCCCAACACCGAGGCTGAGGGCGAGGAGGACGAGGAGACGGCGACGGCAGCAGCGAAAGGGGAGGCCGAGGAGGCCGAGGAGGATGGCGCCTACGCCGGCACCGCCGCCAGCACCAACGCCAGCTCAGACGCCGGCGCGGCGGGGAGTTCCGACGCCAGCTCGGACGCCAGAGCCTGCGCCTACGGCAGCCCCAACCCCAAGGCAGACGAGGACGAGGAGGCCGAGGAGGCGACGACGGCAGCAGCGGACGTGGAGGCTAAGGAGGCCGAGGCGGAAGGCGCCCACGCTGGCTCCAACGCCAGCGCCTACGCCAGCACCAGCGCCACCCCCGACGCCACTAATGCCAGCACCTCCGGCGCCAGCTCGGACGCCAGCGCCTACGCCTACGCCAGCCCCAACGCGAAGGTGGGTGAGGACGTGGAGGACGAAGAGGCGACGGCAACAGCGGAGGAGGTGGAGGAGGCGGAGGAGGAGGAGGAGGAGGAGGAGGAGGCCGATGAAGCCAAGGAGGAACACCCCTACACCAGCACCACCGTCAGCGCCTACGCCGGCACCAACGCCATGCCTGACGCCAGCAACGCCAGTACTTCCGACGCCAGCTCGGACGTCAACGCCTACGCCTACGCCAACCCCAACGCCGAGGTGGATGAGGACGGGGAGGACGAGGAGACGACGATGGCAGAGGTGGAGGCGGAGGCGGCGGAGGATGAGGACGAGGTCGAGGAGGAGGTGGCGGAGGACGCATGCGCCTACGCCAGCGCCCACGCCAACGCCTACGCCCGCGCCTCCCGCAACGCCAGCACCACCGCCAAGTCCGCCAGCACCAGCGCCAAAGCCCTCGGCGACGTCATCGCCGACGCAATCGAGGACGCCTACGCCTACGCCAGCCCCAACGCGAAGGTGGGTGAGGACGTGGAGGACGAAGAGGCGACGGCAACAGCGGAGGAGGAGGAGGAGGAGGAGGAGGAGGAGGAAGAGGAGGAGGAGGAGGAGGAGGAGGAGGAGGAGGAGGAGGAGGAGGAGGAGGCCGAGGAGGAACACCCCTACGCCGGCACCACCGTCAGCGCCTACGGCGGCACCAACGCCATGCCTGACGCCAGCAACGCCAGAACCTTCGACGCCAGCTCGGACGTCAACGCCTACGCCTACGCCAACCCCAACGCCGAGGTGGATGAAGACGGGGAGGACGAGGAGACGACGATGGCAGAGGTGGAGGCGGAGGCGGGGGAGGATGAGGACGAGGTCGAGGAGGAGGTGACGGAGGACGCACGCGCCTACGCCAACGCCCACGCCAACGCCCGCGCCTCCCGCAACGCCAGCGCCACCGCCAACTCCGCCAGCACCAACGCCAAAGCCCTCGGCGACGCCATCGCCGACGCAATCGAGGACGCCTACGCCTACGCCAGCCCCAACGCGAAGGTGGGTGAGGACGTGGAGGACGAAGAGGCGACGGCAACAGCGGAGGAGGAGGAGGAGGAGGAAGAGGAGGAGGAGGAGGCCGAGGAGGAACACCCCTACGCCGGCACCACCGTCAGCGCCTACGCCGGCACCAACGCCATGCCTGACGCCAGCAACGCCAGAACCTCCGACGCCAGCTCGGACGTCAACGCCTACGCCTACGCCAGCCCCAACGCCGAGGTGGATGAAGACGGGGAGGACGAGGAGGCGACGATGGCAGAGGTGGAGGCGGAGGCGGAGGAGGATGAGGACGAGGTCGAGGGGGAGGTGACGGAGGACGCATGCGCCTACGCCAGCGCCCACGCCAGCGCCTACGGCAACGCCCGCGCCTCCCGCAACGCCAGGACGACGGCCAACTCCGCCAGCGCCAACGCCAAAGCCCTCGGCGACGCCATCGCCGACGCATTCGAGGACGCCAGCGCCTACGCCAGCACCGATATCAGTTCCGAGGACGCCGCCATCCACGCCAGTGCCGACGCCAACGCCTACGACGACACCGACGACTGCGCCTACGCTGGGATGAACGCCGCCGACGCCTTCACCAGCACCGACGCCAGAGCCGCTGATGCCGGCACCCACGCCAGCGCGTACGCCAGCAACAACGCCGGCACCTACACCAGCACCGACGCCAGCTCGGACGACGTCAGCTTCCACGCCGGCGACGCCGCCAGCTTCCACGCCAGCGTCATCGAGAAGGAGGTGGAGGAGGAGGTGGAGGAGGAGGCGGAGGCGGAGGAGGATGAGGGCGTGGCGGAGGAGGAGGAGGAGGAGGAGGAGGAGGAGGAGGAGGAGGAGGAGGAGGAGGAGGAAGAGGATGAATCCGATCAGGACGCTGACGTCAGCACCACCGCCAGCGCCTCCGCCGGCAGCATTCCCAGCGCCTACGCCGGCACCACCACCAGCGCTTCCGCCTTCGCCTACGCCGACCCAACGGCAAGGGGAGGAGGAGGAGGAGGTGGAGGAGGAGGAGGAGGAGGAGGGAGGAGGAGGAGGAGGAGGAGGACAAGGTGGCGGAGGAGGAGGAGGAGGCGGAGGAGGAGGAGGAGGGGGAGGAGGAGAAGGATGAAACCGATCAGGGCGCCGGCGCCAGCACCACCGCCAGCGCCTCCGCCGGCAGCATCCCCAGCGCCTACGCCGGCTCCACCACCAGCGCCTCCGCCTTCGCCCACGCCGACCCCAACGGCAGCACCACTGAGGAGGTGGAGGAGGACGAGGACGAGGAGGAGGAGGCGGAGGAGGCTGAGGAGGAGGAGGAGGCGGAGGAGGAGGAGGAGGCCGAGGAGGATGAGGAGGCAGAGGGAGAGGAGGACGAGGAGACTGAGGAGGCTGAGGACGCGGGCACTGACGCATGCGCTGACGCCAGTTCCGAAAGCAACACCAACGCCAGCGCAGACACCAGCTCCCACGCCTACGCCCACGCCAGCACCAAGGTCAGCGCCTCCGCCGGCACCAGCGTTCGCGCCTACGCCACGGCCAACGCCCTCGCCGTCCTCCAGGAGATGCGGAAGGCGAAGCTGCACGACGACGTCACCAGCTACAGCGCCGGGATCTTCGAATCTGCGCATCCGAGAAGGCCGCGCAGCGCCAGTGGGTTCTGGCGCCGCTCGGCGAGAGGAGGAAACCGAAACTGCAGACCAACGTCATCAGCCACAATGCTGGGATCAGCGAGTGCGAGAAGAGGGGACAGCGGCAACAGGCAATGGCGCTGCGCACCGCGATGCGGGATGCGAAGCTGGAGCCCGACGTCATCGGCTACAGCGCGGGGAACAATGCGTGCGAAAAAGGCGCTCTGGGGCAGCGGGCTCTGGCGTTCCTCAGGGAGATGTGGGATGCGAAGCTGGGCCCCGACGCAACCGGCTATAGCGCCGGGATTTGCGCATGCGAGAAGGGCGGTGCGCGGCAGGGGGCTCCAGCGCTGCCCGGCCCGGTGCGGCCCCAGCAGCCGGATCCGCACCTTGGGAGGCCCCTTGAGAACGGGGGCGTGCACCAGCGGTGGCGGGCGCCGCACACTGCCCGAGGCCCCTAGAGAACGGGGGGGCGTGTAGGGCAGGAGCGGCTGGTGCTGGGCGCCGCGGACCGGGGGCCTCGGAATGGCCCCGGGTCGCCGAGGGCGTCGCCGTCGACCGCACCTTGGTCGGGCGAGGGTCGGACTGGCACTGGGTGGGGGGGGGGGGGGGGGGGGGGAAAATCCGAGGCCTCTGGATCAGTGATGCTACCTGCCTCAGAAGTCACGCGATAAGCCAACGACATGAGTGAATTGGGGCATTGCGCCATTCGGTACAGTGGACTCAAACGGAATTTGGGCACGGAACTGGGGAGAGATGAGAATGGGGATCCGGGGATTCAGAGTGTAGATTATGGGGCTGTCAGGAAATTGAAGGTTGGAGCTGGACAGCGGGAGTTCGGAGAGATAGGAGCCACAGTGGGAGAATTCGGGCCCAGAGTCGGAAGGTAGGAACCGAAGCTAGGGCCACAGAGGAACGCTCAGAAAATGAGAGCCTCGGCCGGAGAATGAAACGCCAGAGTCGGAAATATGGGAGCCATATTGGAGAATGGAAAATGAGAGTTGGGAGCCGAGATCGGAACATGTATATATAGTTAGAAATTGAGGCACATGCAACCCAGACGCGGATACCGTGGATCCGGCGAAACCAGTGTCGGTGGATGCCGAAACCGTTGCATGGATATCGAGACCTTTGCTTGGATGCCGAAGGAGGTGTCCTCCCTACCTACTTTGGTATGAGGTGATGTTCCGATTCCTGCTCCAGCAGCGCTTGAGTCTGACGACGTCGTAGAAGCTATGCGAACGCTCGGAACGAGAGGGGGTGAACAATGAGGCCTTACGCTGCCAATGCTGGCTCCGACGGCGGCTTCGAATTAGGTTTGCCCTTTGTAATTTGTCACATCGTCTATCAGAATACATTGCGGTTTGGTCCCCCCATCTTCCCAACTTGAACTCGGATAATTTACGGCTGCAATTGGCGAGCTTTACCAGATTCCGTTTGCTCCTGGGTATTGCCAGGCCTCCGAACGGATGGCATCAAAGGCACATAATATCAACAGGATGGAGGAGATCGACCAACAGATCCCAACATTAAGCGCAATTTTGAAATGCATTCAGGATTTCGATGCGCGCATGTTGACGCAAGTGTTTGCCTACGTTCACGCTGCTGCTACTGATTGGGTGAC